ATGTTTCCTGTTCCTTTAGAAGGTCACATGATGTCATCCTGTGATTCATGAGAAACTGTCGGATAAGTTAACGGTCATCTCTGGCATTAGAAAGTCGCTTCTGCCCTTTATCTGGCTGGTTTCTGGTCATTTTTTCCAGAGCTGTATGCCTGTTAGCTTATACACATTCAAAAACAACATTCAACCTGCAGCCACAGGATTATTTTTTAGTGCTACCTAGTGTATCATTTGATGTGTGATGTTTACTGCAGCTTTGAAAATGATTTAAAAAGAGTTTTTCGTTTCCTGAAGGACACTTACAGAAAAGCCATCTCATTTTGAGGTCTTAATTAATCATAATTCATATATGCAAGGCCAAGCCTCTCTTCTCGCTCACCTATTTTCTCTTGTGTTTACATGTTTCTCCCTGTAGTACAATGACTATTATTCTGCAATTTCAACTACAGCTTGTATCCAGCTGTGAACGGTATCACTCTCTTTATTATATTTGTTGTGACGTTCTTTGATCTTTTTTGCACTCTAGTCTATTCAGATCTTAATATTAAAGCTAATAATAATAAAATGATGGCACAAGATAAATCTCCCCCTTTGCTCCTAAAGGGCGCAAGTCAAGTCCTCCTGGCAAATATGCATTGTCATTATATTCATGAGCTGAGCCAAAACCTTCAAAGGACAACAGCTTTTCCCTGAGAGACTTGCATTCCTAGAGTCCTACAAAGAGTGCACTGAATAAATTAAGTGTTTTATGCAAAGTCTGGCATTCATAGAGGGGAGCAAAACAGGAAACACGTTTCTCAGCATTTTATTGTGAATTCTCAAGGCTGAAGAAACTGTCATTTGGGACCTGGCACGTCCTAACAAGGTTTACCAGTACAGGCAGGATTTGGAGATTGCAAGCAGCATATATCGCTGCTCGGTGAAAGCCCCGTGCTGCTTGACATGAACAAATTCAGAGCTTCATGTCGGGTTTCCCACTAGTTGTGCCAGAAAGTGCTGCTCACAGACAGATAGAAAGAGCGTGGCGACGGCAAACCGAGTGTGAAATTGTATAAGTATATTCTCTGCAGCTTCTGCAGCCTTTTCCCAAGGAAAAGACAAATAAAACTCAGGGCAGAGAGGAAAGCAACATGTTCAGTGACTGGTGGATCATTTCATTCATTCCTCACCCTGCATTCTTTCCTCACCGCATGCTCATCTCTCTGATGACTGTGCGGAGAAGCTGGCAGGATACCTCTTCCATTAATGAAAAGTTGAAAAGAGTATAAAAACAGATTCTAGACACCAAACAATTGTAGGCAAGCAATCAATCTGCTCCAAAAATCTTTATATTCAGCTTTTTATTTGAGTCATTTTTCTTGTTACATATTAACATATTACGTATTTAACCAAAATATCACTTTAATTCTAAATATGAGTGACTACACACAATTAACATATATGGTTGAAGTATTTTACTATAAAATGAACCTGACAAGTAAATTAACATGTAACAGAAACAGTAAAAACGCACATGTTCTTTGAAGAATGTGTATTTGTTTCCCATAGCAATGGCTTGATATTTCTACTCATTATTCCAGTCTTATCTGTGGATTTTATGTTACTTCATTCAATATTCTTCCCAGCCCTCCTATCTTTGCTGCTGTTTACCACTTATCTGGACTGCAGTGTTGGTGCACAGATTCCCTCCGCAATGTAGGAACATTCCCTCCTTTAGTGTCTGGTGCAGCCTGGACGCCTGAAGCTGACTGCACTGCTGCCTGAAAATATTCCTGAATTCTGCTGTAATCCTGTGTCTCCTCAGTACAGCAACTGATCGCTGATGTAATGTACACAAATTACTCAAGGGTGATTTCTGTGCAAACAAACCTGCAGGAGACAAATATGCCAATTAGCATGGCCAGATGTGAAGAGCCAAGAGCTTCTCATGAGAAGTAATAGGAAATGCAGCTTTAAACGATGCACTGAGAGATTTAAAGGGCCAACAGGAAAATATGTGGGATTACTACTACGATTGCTACCACAGATCTGCACAAAAAAGCATCAAGGACAACTAGAAAAAAAGGGGAAAGCTGTAAAAGGAGAGGTGGAAGTCTAATAACTTGCTACAGTAACATCTTGAGAACATTTCAGAAGGTTTGTAAAGCAAACAGACGACAGGATAATAACAAACAAGCTCTAGAAAGATAATAGGAAGAAAAAATACAAAGTTGTTCTTCACAATGGGGAAGACTAGGACCCTGAAAGTATTGAGAGGTGGAGGATTACTGGAAGGATACAGAGAGGAACTGAGAGGCACAGGCAGCTTTATGTCCCAGTAGACATGCCACCAATAAACAGAATGTCTTATTGAAGTGGGGTCCTTTGAAGTGGAAAGAGTCTGGAAGGTAAGTAGGAAAATCATCAGCCATGAGTCTCCATGAACTTTCATACAGGCTATACAAATCCACGCCTGATATCTTGCGTTACTTTTGGATGCTAATGGGAGCAGTTCGGAAAAACTCTGGCACACAGCAGAAGGAGCTTCCCTGAACCGTGTGGAGACCTGATATCAAATTCAAAGAGCCAAGGCAGTGACCAAGAATTTATCATTTGTTTATAATCAAATTTTCTGAATGCATTTCGTTCAGTTCCACGAAACCTCCTATAGGCGTTGAGAATCCTAAAGTTACCAAAAAAAATTAATCAATCATCAGTCTGTGAAGGCCTATTTCCAGGACTTGCAGTTCAGTTTCTCACCAGTTTACCAGTACATGACAAAGACTTGGAAGAGATACATAATGGAGATGTTAGTGGGAGTCCCGGAGTGCATAGTGGAGTGCAATTATGAAATATCAGTAGTTAAGGCAGTACCGCTTTACAATAAGGCTACTCTACCACTTATAAATGGTAGTAACTCATTAATATGAAGAATACTGTGGTATAACTTGTTTAGAATTGTCTAGTAATGATTTACGAAGTGTTACAACCTAATTAATAACCTGCTTATAAACTATTCATAATCCCTTTATTAGGGTAGCCTTATTGTAAAGTCACAGCGTTAAGGCTAAGCCTGTGACCTATCAGTGCTAATACAGGGACAAGATGAGGGCAATACCCATGACTGCTGCTTGGATAAGTGCCCGCGGGAAAGTCCACGAGCTATGACAAGTCTGGACAACGTCAGTAGCTGCTGTAGCTCCACAAACAGAGCATTGATCTCGAGGGAGCACACATCAGGAGTCTTCAAAGCGATATTGTCTCAGGGGCTTATCAGAGATGTGCTGTGAGCATTTCCCAAGATATGCAGCGGCAGTAGATGAATGCTTGTGGGAGTTTTACTTACACAAAAATGTTATGAGGGCAGAATGAAAACTGGTTCAGAGAAATAACTAGTCAATTTGTAGAGGAGGTGGGTCCAAGCAACTAGAGGAGGCAGGACCAAGACATCTGATTGGTTGGTGCCACCAACTCTAGTTGCAGCGACACACCCTCTCTACAATCTAATTAGTTAGCTCTCTGAACCAATCATTTTTCATTCTGCCCTCAAAATATTTTTTGCATCATAAAGCAGGATTTCTTGCTTAGCCAGATAAGAGATAGATAGATACCTTATTAATCCTGAAGGAAATTTAGGCATCCAGTAGCTCAAAAACACAATGATAGACACAACAATATACACAGCAATAGAATAAAATAAAAGGATTGCAGGTGTCGAGAGTGTGTTTGTGGATGCAGATGGATACTTGTCAGATTTAAGGTAATTTATGCTGAACATAAATGAATGAAGATAAAGTCCATTTAAACTGGGGTAACTTAAATCCAACAAGTTATCCAGCTAAGCAAGAAATCCAGCTTTCTGATAAAAGCCCCAGGAGTATGAAAACAAGCAGAATCCATTTTACCATTTGATGCACCTGCGATGTGCTTCCATCCCCTCAAAGACACAAGCAGCTAATCAGAGATCAATTGTTTTGTTGGGCAGTGGAATGTGACCTTTCCGTAATGTGACCATCCACCCAAGCTCTGACTTCATTAGGTTTTATTGACTCTGTTGTTAATAACAGTCATGAACAAGCCTCATTTGATGCCTCAGGTCTTCACTTCAGCTGTAGGGATGCATGAGCACACTGAAGTGCTCCATAGAGATTCAGAAATTAGCTGTGACTGGTCAACCACCAAGACCTGCACCATACGTGGACAGAAGCCTCACACTGCTGTCTCCTGTTCACAGAAACATATAACAATATGCTAAAATCACTTTTAAAAACAGGAGCTCTGATGTCATGCACTGTTGGGCTTCTGTTCTATGTGTTCAGATAGGCAGCAATGCCGAATAACAGATTATCATTATACATTATATTATTCTATTCAATTCAATTAATTTTTATATAGCGCCTTTCACAACAGTCATCCCAAGGTGCTTTACATGGATGTGTTGTGATACATTAAACATATATTATTGTTATGTCCGACGAGTACATTTCTGAGGTCAGATGCTGTTTATAAATATATATTCAGCTTGGCTGGATTATGGACAGTCTTATGGAGGTGTGACCTGCAAAACCCAACTAGATATTTGTGCTGTTTGTTTGTATGGTGGCCACTAGCTTAGCCATAAAAAATCCAGCCGTAAATCCTCCACTGCTCATGCACATTGAGGAAAGTCATAAGGACCCGTTTCAGCAGTAAGTCTCATATTTGATTGTACTGCCAGTAGTTTATCCGTCCTGCTTCCTGTTCCTCTTGTACGTGGCTGCAGGAGAAGCCTGGAGCCCTTCCCAGGAGGCACTGGGGACAAGGCAGGATACATGTATGGGTACACAGGATGCCAAGTGACTGCAGGGCACATGCACTGATCATTTACAAAAGCTATTTTCACCCAAATATTGCATGAGTTGTATCAATCATTTCAGCTGAACTATATATTCATCATAAATACCAAAAGTCCACTAGATATATAGAATTTCTGATACCATTCAGTCAGTTTTTTACATTAAAACATAAGGATAGATGGGCAGGGATGTCCTCCCAGGACTTTATTACAGAACTTTAGTACTCCTTATACAGCCAGTTTTTTACATTAAAACATACGGATAGATGAGCAAGGATGTCCTTTATTACAGAACCTTAGTACTCCTTATACAGCCATTTTAGTACAGAGACTTGAAAGCTGATAGATTTTTTTTTTCTTTTTTCAGCAAAGACACAATACAGGAAAAGGAGGAAAGAACTTCCTCCAGGAAGCCTAATTGGAGTGACATGTTTTGTTGAAGGACAGCTCCAGGCCTTTCCATGACCCTGTCCATGATGACTGGTTGGAGGATGGATGGATGGATGAAAGAAAGACTGCCCTTCCTGCCTTTGTAATGAATGCTCTTGAAAGCTTCCATTGGGACACTCTGGTAAACATGAAGCATGTCAGGTTTTGTGGTCTTGTTTAATTAAGCAGGTAATTGCCCATGGAATACTGTATTTGGGCTCCACCGAGATGTCACAGAATGAACAGTGTAAACACCTAGATTACTACAGCGATGAGAGGTCCCTTGTCTCTCTCACAAAGAAACACTGAAATAGTCCTCAAGTATTATTGCACACTGCAAACGCAAGTCAGGGGATTTATGCAGAACCGTCCAATCAACCTGATTCCCTGCAGGTCAGTAACTCCCCTCTCCATTGCATACCAAGGAGTGCGTCACTAACACCCTATAAAATTATAAACACATATTCTAAAATCCACAAGACTGGACTATACTCATTGTGTCAAAATTCTATTTCTAAAACGTTCATGTGGAAAATGACATTTTGCGACACATAATTAGTTTTTTATAGGGATGGAGTCAAAAAAAATTCAGGGGTAGTGGATAAAGAGTTAATACAGACATAGAAAGACATGGATGTTTTATTTTTTCTGTGTGATTCCTGATAGGAGTCCATTGGGGAGTTGAGGGTATGATTTTTCTCGTCGAGCTTTTCTGGAGGACCGCAGAGGGAGGACATGTTTGGGCAGTTGCCGCAGTGTGTTTGCTGTCAGAAAGCCTGCAGCACAGCCCTCGGGGATTCCCAAGAACGTGGCCAGGCAGGAGGACAATGATGATGGATGGGCTGCATTCTTCCGCTTTATCTGCACTCCTCTGTGCTAGGAGGGGTTTGCGGAGGTGCGACCGGGGGCCGGTGCCAAGTTCACGCTGCGATCTCCGTTCCGTCCTTGGTGACCTTGAGTCAGCTCCTCTGAAGATATATGGGTTCTGTGGGGATGTGCAGGGAGGAACCTAATTACATTTAATTATAAGTTCTGAAGTACCTTACCTGCACTCCATGGAAAATTGTGGGGCTTTTAATTAGGTCAATTAAACCTACGGATGGCCTTGGGAAGACCGGATTGCTATTATGCTACAAACTGCATCACTTCGATAGCAATATGCTATCTCGTAGCCAAGGGTTCGAAAAAGAATGTCACAGGAAGGATAACACTCAATAACAATGACTATTTGCAGGTGAGCACTGAGCACACAAGTAGACAGAAGTCAAGCAGGTCATGACCTCCCTGTTATTTCCAATTCTCTGCTTCAATTCCTAGCTAATAACGCTAATGTTAGACATTAATTTGTATAAATGAAGAAGCGATACTATAATACAGCTTCCAATCTTCATCGTGCTTCTTATGCAGATACTGTACAGGCTCTACTGCGACAGCTTGGCAATGGCACAGCGTCCACCGACGGTTAAAGGTTCAGGGTCCGCTATCTGCCTGCAGGACATGAACGTCCACCTGTGAAAGTTGCGCGGGGGTGTCGGCACCACACAGACTCAGAGTTCAAGGCCGCCAGACCGCCGTTAGCGGACTGTGCACATGCAGGGAGGCACGGAAAGCTGTCAGGAGAGGGGCCTGCTTCCCCACAGTTATACTGCTGACTCACTGTGTACATGGTAGGAGTCAGACTGTATGGCGCAGTACACAGGGGCCAATAAGGGAGGAAGTGCTTCACTGTCTCCAAGTTTGATGCTAAAATCCGAGGTACTGCCTGCTTTTTTTGTAGTATTGAGGCTGCTCTGTATTATATATGGAGCAAGCTGGCTGATTTTGTTGCATTGAAAAAGAAAAAGTCACGAATCCTAACCCTGACTTCCTTACAAGCTTTTCCTTTCAATATATGTGAAAGCTCGCATGTTTATGTCTTGCAACATAAGGGTTGGTCTCGGGAGATTTTCATTGTGCCTCAATCTTCTATATATACCTACATTTATATATTCATTCTAGGGAGGACTGAGCGTGCTTTAATGGTTCTACTAAGAAATCATTAATATGAAAGCAGCATTATTAAAGCCTTTCGAATACAGGAGCGTGCTTCTGGGTGCTGATTGCAGAAGTGATTAATTTGCATTAATGGTACAAGTTAAATGTTGGTCTTGGATAAGTGCATTTCCTTCTTAGCACAACCCAGCATGTGTAATTCTGCTGCTTCTGCATTGTCCTTCGTCATGCTTTTTTAAATCTTGCGCTATAGTTTCTGCATACTGATTTATTTGAATGGATTTTCCTGCAATTATTGCAGATTTGCTCATGCATCACACTTACCATCTGTTACAGCTTTAGCCATTCAGCTTGTTTAACTGCACGGATGCTGTGTTTCGTGAATGTAGATGGCCGCTAATCCAGGCACTGAGGTTGCCCAGTGGGTGGTACGCAACCCTCCCACCCCCAGGGCTGATTGCTACCCTAGCTCCGTGTGTGTGGACATCATATTTGTGTAGATATGCTCCCACACTCCGCAGACAAGGTTTATGTAAATTGGTTCTTCTGCGATCCAGCTGATAGACAGCCATCCAATACATATTGTCCTCTGCCTCCTGTCCAGAGGTTTTGCGGGATAGGTTCAAGGCTCACTGCAACCCTTCATTGAATATGCAATTATGGGACATGAATGACCAGACTTTGAGGTGACATAGTGATTATCCTGCTGCCTCACTCCTGCAGGAATGGGGGTTTGAAGCCCACCTCTGCTGTGTGGGTGCGGCGCCTGATTGTTCTCTTTGAGTCGTGCTATTCCCCCTTCCCAAAAGACATGCTGTCAGGTGAATCAGACTCCCTAAATTGCCCGTATTGTGTGAGTGTGTGCTGGTCTGTGCCCACTGATGGACTGGCATCCTGTCCAGGGTATTCACCTGCTTTGTGTAGCCTGGGATTAGTGACCCTGTACTGGAGGAGCAGATGGATGAAAGGTGGATGTCCTTTGACCAAGTTGCTTCCCCAAAAAGAAGGAAGAGCTGTTGAGTGTTGGTAGTGTCTTCCCTGGTTTCTGATAACCTGCCCCACTCTCTCACATGCCACAATTTCCTTAAATTTACAGCACTGCGTGTAATAAAACTGCTTAGGAAGGTGGCCAGCATCCTTAGAGAAAACTATATTTGTTAGATTTTTCATCAGGTGCTACGGTAGTTTTGGTGTACAAACAAGGCAGAACAGGAGTAATAAAATAGGCCACAGAGATCTACTGTACTGTACGTGTCCAAGGTTCCTGCCAAAGTCCATAGTGCCTGAGAGAGTTTTTATGATTACAGATGCCTGCTCCGACAGCAGCTGACAACCACTGGGGAACAAAAAAGGAAAACATTATAAAAAGTATAACATTTAAAGTTTCTTTAAAATGAATGAAGTGTGCATTGTATCAGTAAGGCACTGATCAGAAATATATTGATATGAAAAACATACGTCAGTTCACTGCTGATAAGCTGTTGAACATGGAATATCTGCTAAATTGGGAAATTAGCCAGAAACCATCAATTTAGCCAAACACTTTAAACTACCTTAAACCTTTTTAATCTGCTTCCCGCATCACAAAATCAAGACAGTAAGAAGGGACATGGGTCTTATTGTTGTCACCTGCTCAAGGACTAAAACGTGCCAAGTCGCAGACAGAGTGACATTAACCACAGAACATGTTTAAATAATGCCTACATGCTGACAAATTATTTTGTGGTGCAGTGAAGGACACCTTTTGTTTAACATTTTGGCAAAAGGTCTCTGCATTTTTTATCTCCCAGTTCTGTTTCAGCAAATTTCTGTGGATGAGCTCTGGGAATTCACCTTCTTCCCTTTTCCCGAATTACCCACACAATAGTAGAGTTTTTACAAAAGCAACTTTTATTTATATGAAAAATTTATGTCTTGAATAGAGCGGGTAGTGGAGTCTGCAACTGGAATTTAATGGCCAGTGTGAAGTCAAACACTTGACTGAAGAAAAGCTAAACATTTTAACCTGGAGCTCAATAGTTCAGCAGAATCACTCCCGATTCTGGAATCACTCCCTATTGCAATGAATTAAGCACAAAGCATTTGATGTGTTGGTGTGACACTAAGCAGCACACCTACCCTCCTTCTACAGCCGCACAGCAAAGCCTGGATCCCAAGTGCCCATCAGAGTCAGAATTTCTATCAGAATCTTTATTTGCAGAGTACAAAGGGATTTCTTTTGGTCCAGATGGTGGCATGATGTACCAATTAAATATACAATTAAATACGAAATCAAGACCAAAAAAAGAAAAAAACAATAAATAGCATAAAGGTAAAATGGACGTACTGTAGTATAATAGAAATAAGATGTGCAAATAATAAATAAAAATGTAGACAAATAAACTAAGTGGTATAACCAAATGCATGCTGCAAACAGCTTGGGGTGTGTGCAAACGAGCTCAAGAAGACAATAAGAGTATGGCGGTAACAGAACGACGGCCAACCCGGCAAGCACTTGCACGTAGATGGAACCCGTGTTGCCCCGGCGACGCCGTGCGAGCGAGTGTGTGCGCTATTTACCGGTGTGCCCCGCATGAGAGCGAGTGCCGAGGGCCTGAGTGCCGCTGCAGGCGCAGATTTTGAAGTGGCTTGCGATGAAGGGGCCTGATTGATGAGGTGCAGGGGGCGAGCGGAATTAGGAGATTAAAGTGGCGGCACAGGATTAGAGTAGCAGGCTTTTATGATGGAAATGGAAATGGAAATGCTGTGAGGAAAGTGAGCCTGGGGCAGCTTTCTCACCCACGGATCCTACCTAACCTTCCCCATTTTACCCTTTCGTGGCCCCGCTAAAAGGCCCTGAAGTCACAGGGCGCATCACCTGCGGCTCCAGATCGACAAGCCTTGCGGCACTTCCGCTTGCAAACATGTACTGAACATCAATGATTGCATTACTCTGCAAACGCTGACACACGCCCTTTCCCTTCTCCCCTCCCCACTGCCTACTCTAGCAGGTGGGGGTCTGCCCGTCTCCACCTGCTAACACTGAAAAGCCACGGGTCACAGATCGCTAATTAGCCGTGGAGAGTGCAGCACCCATGCGGAGACACTGTCGGTGTAATTAGACAAATTGACCCTTGGCGTCGGGGAGGAATTCTTGGCCAGGCAGAAACCACCGTTGCTGGGATGGGGAATCAGCCAGGGAGGAAGCCCAGCAATGCATAAGAGGCTCATAGTCACACTGCGGTGAGGTATGCTTTGGGTGCATTTCCACTGCACCAGCTACTGAACTTTTGGAACTAAAAAATGGGTGCTTTGAGGTGGGACATGTGTATTGTTGATTAATTATGCAAATAATCTACCTCTAATCACAAAACTGCCATCTTGAAAAAGCAGAGTTACGAACTCAAAAAAAAAACAATAAGCAATTTTTTAAATTAGCAATAATATTGGACCCATGTGTCATTATCAGTCCCTGTTCTGTCCTGTCTGTTGTTTCCCTGCTTAGCCAGCAGGTGTTGCTGCTCATCCCTTTCCTAGTGTTTGAGTCATTCGTGATTATTTATGAACCACACCTGAGCTTTGTTGGTCCTACACCTAGTGTTTGAGTTGTTAATGACCCGCACCTGTTCCTTATTGCCTCTAGTCTTTAGTGTTTGGTTAATTGTAATAGTTCTTTGTTTAGCCCTTGTTACTCTTGTGTACATGTATATATATATATACACACACACACACATATATATATATGTGCCAACCCTTGTTTTGTATTCTTGTTAGTCATTGCATTGCATAATTGCATCTTGTGTGTTCTCTGATGTGTATGTTAGATAGACATCTAAAAAAACATCTTAGTAGATGTTCTTTTGCTTATGTTCCTTCTGCTCATCCTCATGTGAATTTCCAGCCCTCCTTTATCCTTGTGTAATCCATTGTTTAACCCCTCATGGTCTCTTTTGTTTTGTATGTATTTGACTTCTGTTTTAACAAAGTTCCCATTTGTTTGATTGTAAGCTGAACTGTGGATCGTCCTTCTGTCATACCATGGCATGACAGCATGGACAGATGAGGAGACCCAGTTTAAATTGCAATTTGGTCGGAAGAACAGAATCAAGATGGTCTGATAAGAAATAAAAAAGTATTTGTGATCACAAATGTCATATTGTGCCTGTACTAGTTTTTCATGCAAGTGGAAAATGAACACAAGTACCACTGACAGCAGCACTGAAGTACCAAAAGTTCAGTGCTTGGTGCAGTGGAAAAGTGCCCTTTCATTAGCAGCGTAAGCTGAGCAATTGCAACCTCGACCAGACACACATCTGGCATGGATTGAGCCACTGTCAAATCATACAGGATTGTCTATTTCTCTGGCTGAACCTTTTCTACAAATGAAAGTGTGACGTAAAGGACTTGGTCTTCAACCAAAAAAAAAAACAGTGCAGAAGCTCTGACAATAAGTAGGTTGTTAGGATTATTCCTGTTAGCTGCAGCATAACTCATACAGTTCACTGGCAAATGCATGGTTTATATGTATTCCGACATGAATACTTTTATTAAATGAAACATCCTCACATAGCAATAAAATTATGATGGTAAAGAATAATGAGTATGACAGAGAAAAAAATACACCTTGTGAAAAAAATACATATCCCATGACCTTGTATTAGATAAGTGGTCTGAAGAAGAATGAATATAAAAAATATATGTGTTATATATAGTGGTTTAAGTATCATAAATAACATATTACCCATGGCAAAATGCACTTGCTTTATGAAGTGTATATAATAACATCTTGAGTCTCACCTAACAATTATAATGATATGATGTGAGATCCATTTCTGTCTTTCAGTCTAGAAACTATTTTTTTTAGAAGTTCAAAGCCATTGAATCTTGAGGCTGAAATGTAATAGAAGTTGTCTTAGTTATCAATTAAAATTTCTCTTTAATGCAAATTTTATGCTCTCTTCAAGCCAGAACTGTACCCTCAGCTTTAGAGCCAAGCAAGGTAGTTGATTTGGGTTTTTTTGTGGTCATTTATAACATGATTTCCATCTAATTTTATGTAGTCCAGTTTAATTACTTTCCTTCCCAATCCTATAGTGGTTTTACTAGGATCACAATTTAATTACACTGTGGTTTCCTACACAATATGTTTCCTGCAGCCATGTTTACGACTGAGTGCACAGCTCACACATACAGGATAATGGCTGCATGCTGGTTACTAGTATAAAGTCAACAGGATATTAAAAATGAAGTTGCTTGGCTATGAGTGTGGGTCTGACATTCAGAAGGAGGAGTGGCTGCATTTTGCATTGTGCCTGTTCAGGATAGATTACTGACCCCTTAGCCTCTCTGCCATATATTCAGAAACAGAGCGATATTTTCTTCTGGAGTCGACTTACTTTCCACCATCTATAAATCCATTCACTCTTTATCGCACTGTTTTAACCATATCTATGCCCCCTTCACACAAATATTTCAAGTGTTCTGGAAGATGTGACGCAGTGGCTTGTGGGTCATGTTATTGCCTGAAACTTCTAAGTTTGAGTTTTTGAATCACACCTATGCTGTGTGTGTCTGGAGTTTGTGTGGTCTTCCCACTTCCTGGAGCATACCTCCAGCCATCTGAAGACATATTGTCTGGCTGATTGGACTCACAAAATTGCTTTTAATGTTTGCACCCTGTGTGTCCTTCTTATCGTAATTATTCCTGGCATAGTCCTGGTTTGCAGCCAAGGTGTAGTTCTGCAAAACCAGTCATCCTCTTGTTATGTCCGGAGTGGTTTTTGTCAACCAAACATGCGTACTGTGTCATTAGGAAAGTGAAGCTGTGCACAAGACATCATGCAGGCATGAAGGAAAGGTATGTAGACATGGGGAGAACATGCAAGCTCCACACAGAGTCAGAGCAGGAGGCACTGTGCTGGCCAGCATAGGCCCACATCCCAGCTCCGTGTGTGGTTTCCATGTTCATTCCTTGACATCATGGGGATTTCCTTGTGGTTTCCAAAAACATGCTAAGGAGAGATGGAGTTTCCAAATTGTCTGCTAATATAAATGGTGTGTGTGCCCTGCAGTGAGTTGGCGCCTGGCCTTGGGTTATTTCCTGCCTTGCTCCTGTAGTTTTCAGGATAGGCTCCGGACCCCCTCTTCGGTTCTAGGTGCTATTGAATGTCAGGGTGTCCTCTGCATCTCCACTATGGGTCTGGGAGGGTGCCAGAATTTGCAGCTCACGTTTGGTCTGTACAGGAGTTATATTTAAAGAGTTTGTGTGTTCCAGATGCTATTTTTTCTTAAAGCTGGTTTAGCCAAATTTGTATTATTGATGTCCAACGATAAATCTACAGCACATTTATTTTTGATGTATACTTATATTTATCCAAAATGATGAACATTTTTATGAAAGCAGAGTCCAACAATCTCTGTAGCCGTTAGTCATCGAGGGCACGGGCCTTGCTCTGGGGCTTAATCGCTCTGGTGGCCCTGGGATTTGAACCGACAGCCTTCCGATCACAGGCGCAGCATCCAGTCCCACTGAGACTCACGCCACCCCACCAAAACCTTTAAAATAATTTACATTTACATTGTATTTATTTCACAGATGCCTTTATTCAAAGCCACACGTTTCTCGGGGAGGGTGAGAGAAGATAAGATGGCGGCAGACGAGAAAAGGAGGGGGCCAGGAGTGTAATTCTCTGGTTGCCTGGAGCCAAAGCCCTCTGACTCATTCAGCTCTCCTCTCTGATTACAGATGCTCCTTTCCAGCAGGCACCTGTCATTTTCCATCAAGTGACCGCATGACCTTTTCATCTGAGTCAACGTGACCTTTGCCTCAAGTCAACATGCTTTTTCATGTGTCTGCAATTTGTGTTTACATTGGCACGTCTCTTGACTGCAAAGTGCTTTTCTGTTTTATGCCCATAAACCGCTTCAAATGTCATTTAGTAAAATGTATTATCGCTGTTGTTAATAATGTTGTTTTCTTGTTAGCATTGTCATGAGTTTTAGAGTAATAGCCTGTTAGAAGTAGACCTGAGGCATAAGATAATCACAAAGGAGGGAAGGATTAGATCTATTTTGGTCTCAAGACTCATTTACAAAGAAAACCAACTTGTTAATACTGTCTTAGTAAGTCACATAGACAATGGCTAAGAACCCTCTAAAAAAATTTTAGTATAACCATAGAGTGGTGCAACTGATTCAATTACTGTATACTAAATTTAAGAGACTTTAAGAAGTCATTCTGAATTCCGTCTAAAACCACTCAAGGATTTCTTTCAAACATTAAACAGAAACACTGGCAGGGAAATATATTTTAAAAATTGCCAGATGAAGGATATTTTCAAAATGAAAGGAAAAAAATATTATGAGCAAAAAAGATTTCTTACCTTGAGTGATAAGATCACACCATCTTCATCGATTAAAAGTGTTAATCTTATCCGTCAGGCTTTAAGGTTTGAAAAAGAATTGAACAATAATAAATATGCCATGTAGTGAATCCAACACCTATACTTCTTGCTATAGAAACGCTGATATTTTAGACTCTGTTAATCCATATTATGCCTTTTCAGTCCTATTTTTAAATTCAAAACCAGCTTCTGGTGAATGGTCTTCATGTTTTTTTTTTTCACGATGCCCTGGAGTGGCGTTACCTCTTTCTGCTGTCCATGTATCCACGGGAAACTTCATGTGGACCTTCAGGCTCACGGCAGGCTTGGCTCTGATACTTGAAATTATTCTGAGCAGGAAATCGAACAGTGTGTTGGCAGGGTGTGGGTTTGACAGGACTGTGGCTGGGGGGGACCCTAGACTGGAAGGGGCCAGAATGTACCAAAGGGGCCCAAGGTGACATTTTGCCCAGGGGTCCATGATTCCTTGCTACACCCTTGGGTTAGAATGTTGTGTCCTTGATCAGAAAGTCACCGATTCAAAGTCCATGGCTGGCAGCGAGATGTCACTGTTGAGCCCTTAAGATTCCTGGCCTGACCAACCCTGCTGACTCTAATAAATACATGTTGCAGTACTAAGGCCACTTCTGAGGCCACACCAGTTACTGACAAACAGGAAACCGAGCTGTGCAGTAGCGTTGGAATAAAAATCAAACCGACTGTTTGTGTTGGTTGTTTCAGGGACGCTTGGTCCTGTCACCTCTGGGCCTTCTCTCCTTCTCTCAAACATTGTTTTGCCTCCCACCAGTACTGTACCACCTTTTCAACTAACATTCTCCTCAATCCACCAAGAATAGTTTTTGTCCATTATTACAGCAACAAAAGAGAACAGAATAATTATATTGGTATTCTGATTTTTAGGAAATTAAATGAAGTTTCAAAATAAATATTTGAAAAAGTGTTTGTTACACAGCAGATTAGGATACTGTATTTTGTGACACGAATCGCAATGTTTTTATGCAAATTATCGCTTTGATGCATGTTCATTTGCATAAACAATAATGTCCCCCATTAGATTTCATAACTAAAACAACATCTGGGTTGTTCAAAATAAGTCCCCTGCAAAATCTTCCCTTGTGCCTAATCAAAGGCTAATCCTGTGTAAAATTCACTGTCTGCTCTTTCTGATTACTCATTATTCTTATAATATATTCAGGCACAGGGAAGAAAATTGTCATCTGTTTGTCAGGCATCCTATTCTGGTGATAATTACACTACAGTTTTCCTGACCCAGACAGAGTTTGACTCTGTTCACCAGTGGTTGCAGTGGATTCTGAACACAGAGAGGACCCGCATCTACGCCCACCACTGCAAACACTGGTGGAAATCGGCCACACCAGATAGAGGTCATTTTTTATTAAAGTACTTCTACACCCACTGCAGAATGCCAATGCAAAATCAACCCTGTCGCTGAGGTTCAGCCAAGATAAGGTTCATCCTTAAGTCAGGATTCACCCTCAATGACTAATCTACACAGTGTAGAAGTCCAGCTTGCTGATTAGAATGTCATTTTCTTCCCAGAACCTAATTTTATATTGCCAGTTGTTTGACTGCTGTATATGTATGCAGAATGAGAGCTCAGAGATACATGTGAAGCACAGGGCTTCCAGGGTTAGTACACATGCAGAATGCCAAACAGTGTCCAATTACATGCCGTAATTGTGGAAAATCATAATTACGATTCCATAGAAGTGCAATGCAAAGCATATTACAACTTTCCTGACTTTTCTTTAAATTTCAGCTGGAATAAGTACATGTCTATCGTTATATGTAACACACACACACACACTCTTCACCCTCCTGCCTTCTGCAAGAGGTACCGGAGCATTCGGGCCCTCACTGCCAGACTGTGCAACAGCTTCTTCCCGCCAAGCCGTCAGACTCCTGAACAATCAGAAACTGGACTGATACACACACACACCTTTATACAGTCCACTACCTCAATAACTTTTTGCACAACTCATTGCACTGTTGCACTTAGCCTGTTTTACCTACTATCATCTCTTCTATTTCTTCTATTGCACTGTCTGTGTAGTCCTGTGTCGATATAGTGTTATATGTAGCACCATGGTCCTGGAGGAACGTGTCTCATTTCACTATGTACTGTATTACTGTATATGGTTGAAACGACAATAAAAGCCACTTGAATTGACTTGACTTGCCTAAATATCAGAGGTGCATAGCTCAGGGCCAGAAAGTAAAATTCCAGACCAAGATTAAATTTCAACCAACCCGCTCTGTATAAAGACTCACAGTCACAGAGTAACTCAACTGGTTGGTTGGAAGAAAATCTTGGTTTTAATTTTTACTTTCTGGACCTGATTTATCCACCTCTGCTAAATATACCTACACATGAAGGGCTTTTGTGTGTTTCCTTGGTATTAAATATTTATCCAAGCAGTTCAGCAAACCATGCTATCATTGCTAGCCAAATGGGTATGTTGACATCAGCCGGCACTTCTAATGGATAAACATCTTGTCGGTGGCACCAGATGGTTGGGTGCATTTGGGGACCCGTGGATAATCTTGGGAGGATGACCTTGTGGTGGAAAACAGACAGCTCCCTTTCAGATCCATTAACCCAATGGTGCAGGCTCCCAGGGCGTGACAGATGGCTGTGGAAAGAGCAGCCCCCCCCCAGCCCCAATCACACCTTCCCTGCTCACATGGGTGCCCTCGGTCTGCACTTTCCGTTCTCTGAAAGGCTCCCTGGAAGTAAGTCTTACAGGTAAGTAATGATGATATGCAGTCATTTATGTGAAGACTCAACCCGCCCCGCCCCCCCACTCCCTTCCCATAGCCCTGCCCAGGATAAGCAGATAGAAGATGAATGGATGGATGGATGGAAGGATGGATGGATGCCAAAGGACCAGCCCTCACAGTTACTTACTACATGTTCTTTGCTATATTAAATTCAAAACCTTACTGCTCACCTTTAAAGCACTACATGGCCTTGCACCCCCTTACCTCAGTGATCTCCAGACCCCTCACTCTCTCCCTCGCTTTTCCCTCACACGAAGCTTCTCACTATGGGTGACAGGTCATTCAGTGCCATTACCCCCAAACTCTGGAATTCTCTTCCTCAATCTCTCCATGACTGTTCTTCATTCTTCACTTTTAAAGCTGACTATAGACTTTCCTGTTTAATGAACATTTCTCTTCTTGAACTGCTTATAGATGTGTTTTTTTCCCCTCCATGTAAAGCGGCTTTGTGTTTGAAAAACACGCAATATAAATGTAAATTATTGTTATTTTTATTATGGATGGATGGATGGATGAGTACTTGTTCAAGTTTTTGCAGTGTCTACATACTTTTCGACATTTTGCACTTTAGTCAATTCTTCTATAGTCACCCTTATTTATTTTTATTTACTGTTTATTTCTTTATTTCACCCTTTATTCCATCCCGTGCTGCTGTTGCTAGGCAGGATGGTCTATGCGTATGTAAAATTTCATGTGTACGTATTTATAAACTGCCCTGAAAATTGCATTTTATACGTCCTACTGGAGTACACCTACAAAGACAAAGTCCTCATATGGTAATATACATGAGCAATAATGATCTTTCTGATCCTGCTTCTGATGACATTGGCAGAATGGATGCATGGATGAGGACCAAAAGGCTCTAATAGGATCAGTCACATCCCTGGATGGCCTGACCCTGACCGGGACACAGCCTTCGCTCTGCCTTCCTCCACAACAACCATCTAGAGAGCTGTCACCCCCAGCAGCGAGCACACCACGCAACACCCTATCCTCCCACGTCTCCTTCAGCCGCCCTGGGATGACCCTGCCGGGCTGGGGAGTGCGAGCAGGAGAAGCGATAATTAGAGGTGCAGTGTTAAATTAATTCACTGCGTCAACCCTCTCAGTCGTCGGCTCGTTAAACAGGGAGCATCAGAGAACATGGAACGACAGTAATCAGATGTGAGAAGGGAGGTGAGAAGATGCCCTTGCATGCAAAGCCTTTGTCTTCAGTCCCTAAAAAGGCACCGTCCTCTATGTAGCACTAGATGAGTGGTTGGCAGCCGGTCAATCGCAATCGGCAAGACATTTACGGTTAGTCGCGACAGAATTTCCAATCCCCCATGATATAAAAATATATTAAAATATACTAAGGGGGTCCCCACCTCCCCGCTCAAGAAAAATATACCAAGGGATCCTCCCCACCTATAAAAATATTCCAAGGGAACCCCTCCCCCCTACCCACCGTCAACAAATTATACCATTGCCATCGCAATCCGATAGCGCGCCACAGTATTTCCTTATTTTCTGTGCACTAGATGACCCAATGAAAGTGAAAAAGAAGACACTGTTTGCTGTTTCGGGTGAGTTTCACAGATGAATGGCCATTGGCTGCAGTGGTTAAGGATAGAGCTGATAGCGCTCTGATTTCCTGCACAAGTCCCGCCAGGAGTTCTGCCATTGTACCCTTGAACATTTAGTCTGGCATTTAATTTAAAGTATTGCAGTGAAATATCCATCTCTGTTAAGAGGTAAAACTGTGCAAACTTAACACCATAGATTAAGGTCTGCTGTTTATCTATTAATAAACTGTTATTATAATTATATTTGATAATATTAATAAATACAATGATTTTCTTACAGTCAAATTTAGAAATTGCTTACAAATATATCTTACTCCTGTTTTTTTAAAGAGCTTGTTAATCACTTGCAAGTAAAAACAGCACAATTGTAAGCATACAGTCTTCGAAATTAATTATACTTGAACCTTAATGGTCTGCTTCTTAACTAGTCCAATTAATAAACTGTTCAACCATTTGATAATATTTCAGTAAATAAAAAGCTTCACTTACAATCAGATTTAGACATGCTTTACTCCTTTATATTTTACTCCTAACTCATTACTGTAGCTGCGCTGTTCCATAATGGTTTTGTGCTTTTGTTGTTGCAATGTGCATTTGGTACCTTGATGGATTGTGTGAGGAAGGTCTTGTGGTTAGTGAATGACAGATATGGGTGGGGTCCCCGGGGGACTAAGGGGGGGGTGTGTTGGGGTAACGTCCTCTTGGTCTGGGAGCTCGGAGAGTGAGGACCAGCGGCTTTGTTCTCCGACCATTAGCAAGGGCCCGTTCTCTTTAATGAGGCGCTTGAGCTACTGCAAGCTCCAGTTTCAATAAAGTGCCTTGTGGGACATCACCCAAGTCTGCCTTGTCATTCCGGCAGGGACACTACAGTAAATTACCCAACGATTAGTAACAGTCTATTAACGGTTAAGGAGCGGACCTTAAGCTAAAGTGGGTACCACTTTACAATTAGACTACCCTTATAAAGGGGTCATGAATTGTTTATAATCAGGTTATTAATTTGGTTGTAACACTTCGTAAATCGTTCATAGTCAATTATAAACAAGCTATGACAGTTTTTTTTTTTTTTTCAATGAATTACTATGATTTATAAGCGGCAAAAGGTGCCTCATGGTAAAGTGGAAGGCTAAAGGATTGGCAATAACTTCAAAAAATGTAATT